CTCATCTGCCAGGCTATTGAAGAAACGCTTGCGCAAGCGTAGGGTTTCCCTCTGAACCACCTTTCACCATTTCCTCACAACAGAACCCCTGTACCGCTTCTCATCCTCACTTGCTCCATCATTTTTCTCTGCTAGCTCCCTAGCAGTATTGAGCTCCTCCTTGGAGCACTCAAGGTGCCCCTCATGCATTGGCGCATGTATGGATCCATCTTTGAACCTCCCTACTTGCACCACCTTCCTTGCAGTGACCACCAACCAGTCTGTGACAGCCATGGATGCTCTCTCTGCAAGCAGTATGCATTGAATCCATGGTAGGGCTGTCTGGCTGTCACAAGCAGCCTGGGTTTCTGCCTGAATGGCATCCAGCTTGTGTTGGACCTCAGTATGGGTAGCCTTGAGCTCGTCATTATATGCTTCCTGTTCAGACAAAAGCTTGCGGATGTTAGTTCGGACAAAAGGTGGCTTCTCATACTCATTTGACATGGAAATGTCAAATGTGAGGGGCCTGTGGTCCGAATCCACCACTTGCAACTGCTCATGCACTACTAGGTTGGACACTCACTCTGTAGCTCTTGCATTCAGGAACACCAGGTCTGTTATACCATGCCCACCCCATGGGTCATGGTGGTCCACTTCCCCTGTGTTGGCTCCAATCGCATCCACTCCATATCTTCTATCCACAGCTGCATCCATGCATGCTTGGCAGGGTCAGTAGCATTGAACAAGTCCCCAAAATGTGTTGAACATGCGTTTAAGTCCCCCACCACCACCATTGGGCACTCACTATAGGTCTGGCTCATTTCATGTACTCAAACTCTTCCAAATGTTGGGCCTGCAATCATGGTACCAGACAGGCTACAACCACCACCAAGTCCCCAACCAGTAGGCTGACCCATCAACCTTCACTATCTTCCTCAATAGCACGCATATTCCACTCATCTTTGGTCTTTGTGACCAACACCCCATCCCCTGCCACTAGGTAACCTTGCTCCACTGCTGCCCTAGAATCCATCACCACTCCTTTTATGGGACATGTTGCATTTTTGGACATGTTGCATTCTACCAGCCCCACCACATCACATGAGGTTGTACTTATGAGAGTATCTATATTATGAGCTTTTCTGATGAGGTTCTTGTTAATATTCAGCAAACAAATACGAAAAGACTTAATCATTAAGCTCAATGGCCCCAGGTGTGAGGTTGAGTTCGTCAAAGAGCCTCAGGGTACTTGAAGATGTGTACCTGTTTTGGACAGGTTTGGGAGCCTTGGTGGGTCTTACTTGGTCTGACCGCCTTCCATATATTGGATGGCTGCTGGTTTGGGTCATCTGGCAATGCAGCAAGCTCCTCCATGCATTGTTGCTCCCACTCCACACATGCTGCATGCTCCTTGTTGTGTCTTGCAGTCTCTGCATGTTGCTGTTGCTCAAAATTGGCCTCTGTCACCGAATTAGGGAACTGGAACTTGACTGGGAGTCCTGAGAGATGCAATTTAGCATAATACTCAATCTGCGCCACCATAACAGGAAAGTAGTTTGACTTAGCTATTTCTGCCAGCACTCAAACTTACTCCTGCTTTGCCTTGCTGTGTCTGGTGATGAACTGGGCCTTGGCAACATTTGGAGATTGATGGGGCTTGTGTCGGGGGGGGGTTGCATCATATCCTCCTCGCACAAGAGCTTGTGCTGACAGCAAATTTCCACCACTTGCACCCAGTCCATCTCTGCAATAAACACCTCTGCCAGCATCCGTCTGTTCCCCACAAAAGTGACCTCCCAAATTGTTTGCAGTACCCCTTTTTCATAGAGGTACTGCTTGAGGCAACTGTAGGGGTTGGTGCGGAACATGCCATGGTTGACAAAGTACCAGTTCACATACAAATTCTTGTATGTCACAGGCTCATGCTGCGACTGTGGGGCCACATCCCTGTTGCAGATTCCAATGAACTGGTTGGCAATGACAGCCTTATTGGCCACTGTTGCTGCCATGTATGACATCCTGGGCTGCTTGCAGCAGGGTTTGTTCTTTGCAGGTGCAGGTTGAAGTTGCAGCTGCTGCTGATGCACCCTGGGCTGGTGGGGCTGAGGGAGAGGGGGTGGACGCAGTTCTGGATGCACTGGTGTAACTGGCAGCTTCTGTGTGAGTCGCATTGTCCTCGTGTTGCGTGTAAGGGCCCTCCTGCAGTATCTGACACAAGGATTGTGCAGCAGGAGGTGATTGCTGTGGCTGGAGACTGCGTGCGCATGTCTGGCCAGCCACAGGTGTTGGGACTGGAGGCAGTCCAGCTGGCTGTCAGTACCTGCCTGCATCCTCGTGGCTGTGGTGCTCCCTGGGGGCATCCTGGAAGAACTGCTGCATGGCAGTGGTAAGCTGACTGGACAGTTCACTCACCTGCGCAATGAGGGACGCAATGCAGTCGTCCTTTTTGCTCAGGGTCCGCAGGAAGCGCGCTTCCTTCGCCTCATTTGCACACTGTGCTTCCATCATTTGCAGCTCCATGTGTTGGAGCATATCCTTCATGGAATTGCCATGGTCCCATTCATCCGCAATGAACTCTGCAGATGGGGGATGTAGAACTGGCTCTCAGTCCCCATCATGGGTGACAAGAGGCCAGCCTCAATGTGCAGACGTTTCCCGCTGCTTTTGCTGCAGACTTTGCTCTGCTGCTATTGCTGAGTCTGCACAAGAAGTGGGATTTGGGTGTCAGGGGGGCGTCATAGCTGTTGTCATCCACCAGGCTCAACTCATTGCCTATGGGAGCCCCTCTGCCTCCATCTGGCATACCCTTTGCCTTCAATCCAAATAGATTGCAATTTTTGGCTGTCCAGCATGTGGAGCAGGGGCACTGCTGGCTTTGCTTGCTGGAGCACTAGTAGGTTTCTCGTTGCGGACTGCGCGTCCGCAACTTGACACTAGAGACAGGATCCCCTTGGCTTCTGTGATAGCAGATATGGGGAAAGTCCCTTCTGCATTGGTGAAGACACATGTGTGGAGGCACTCACTTGGCTTCACGCATCTGACACCTCCAGGAGTCAGACACACTAGTGAGTATTTGCGCAATCCCAACATGTTGTATCTGCCACTCTTGTTGCAGTAACGAAGATTCTTCCAGAGGCTGCACAGAAACAGGCTCTTGTGAGCCTCATAGAGCTCTCAACTGTGGCGCTCAAATTCCAGCACCAGCGAGTCCCCTCAGGGACTCCTGACTCATCATTCAGGCCTTTCGTGCTTTTACAAGTGGTTCTGGCTTGTTATAAAGTAGAAGAGGACTGTAAATTGCTGCTGAGCTGGTTGCTGATAGTCTGCAGTGTGTCCAGATGTTGTTGCTGGTCCGGACAGAGGCTTCCTAAAAGAAGTTTTTTTTACATGCAAATCTGAATTCTGTAGCCAAAATGTGACACATGTGGCAGTAACCGGGATATGAACCCGGGCTGCATGCTTGGAAGGCAGGCATAATAACCACTATACAAGCACTGAACTGTAAATATTACATAATGAGCTTTCCAGTTCCACCCAGATAATCCCAATAATGGTTCAACTGCAGTTCTGCATATTTCAAATATTGCCTATCACAATAACAGGTACATTTCGAATATTTCCCATCTCAACAACAGTTATATTTCAAATATTTCCATTACAAAATTGCTATAAAAAGACGCAGTGTTTTAACCAAATAAAGCATCAACTTCTGAATATCTTCCCTTCCAATTCCCTATCATTTGGTAGCACCAGAGGAATGTCCTCCTCTTCTGACATCCTTATGACCTCCAGCACCACTCCTGTGCCCCTCACTGCTGAACAGCAGTTCCAGCAGCTTGCCCAAGCCTACGCCAACCTCAACCAGACCCACCAGTACCTCCTGACCAAGCTTGAAGCCATGCGTCACTCTCAAGCCACCGTTTCTGCTTCCACTGCCCCTGCCGAGGCCCTTCGAGCTGAGGGTACTGCTACAGTAGCCCATCCCCTCCCCTACTTTAGGATGCCCTCCATCAAGCCCATCGCTTTTGTGGGGTCTGGCAAGAACAGACTGGCCCACAAGCTCCAGAACTTCCTGGACGACTACCTCGACTGCTCGCTAGAGATTTGCACCTCTACGGCTTTGCCCCTAACATCCCCGACCATACCCACACTGGCCAGCCTACCTATGTCCAGTTGTAGCCTCAGGACTCAATGACCACGCGCGTATCACCTGGCACCGTCTACCGGAGTCAGAACGCGCTACAATGACCTGGGAATGCTACTCCAAATGGATCCAGCAGTCCTTCGGCTCCCAGCTCAAGCTCACCCAGGCCATTGAGGTCATGGAGAACCTGAACCAGTCCAAGTCTGCCAGTGCCTACTCAGTCCAGTTCAACGAACTCACCTCCGCCATCGCCGCTTCTGGCGTGACCTACCCCTCAAGCACCTGTGCATCAAGTACCTCCAGGGACTCAAGCTCCATCTACGTGTCATGCCCAAGCTCTTCTGCATCAACAACGACCTGGAGAAGCTCCAACAAGAGGCAGAAAAGCTCAACAACATGACCTTTTGCCACAGCAGACGCAGCCAAGGACACAGCGCCAACCAGCGCAGCACCAAGGCTACCCATGACTCCAAACACCCCCAACGCTCCAGCATGCCTTCCTTTCGTAACTCCTTTCCAGACATCAAGGACCCAATGGACCTGTCCAACACCCAGCAGCACCAACGCCCTTCCAGCAACTTCCAGCACCTCTCCCCAGAACAGAAGGAGCATTTTCGCTCCAAAGGTTGGTGTGTTTACTGCCAATCACGCAGCCACAACACAGACCACTGCCAAAAGCTCCAAGAACACCGCACTCAGCTCCAGGCATCGAACACCATCCAAGACTGCGAACCATGTCCATTTTGCAAGTCTGAACAGCACCCCAGTGCCTTGTCTTGCTCGCAGTCCAAGCCACACCTCAACGCCACCACTCAAGTTGATTCTGAGGAGGAGTCCTTTCTTGACTCCAGTTCTGCCAGTTCCGAGCAATAAACTTACTGCCCTCAAACTAAACAACCTACCTGACTCTCTGACCTTGCCTAGACCGGATTTACCCACTGACCACACGGAACCACCCTTTATTGACCAACCCCTGCTTGTTTGCCTTAATACGCATCACTTATCACCTTTTACCGATGCCCCAGGCCTCCTCATCTGCCAAGGATCCATCCACGACCATCCAGTCACCATCCTGATTGACTCCGGAGCAACTCCCAGCTTCATTTGCACCGAGCTCCCATTCCTCAAGGCCACCTCCTTCAAGAACCATGACTGCAAGATACACCTAGCTGACAAGTCCCACATCCAAGGGAAGCATACCAAGCCCCTTGCCTTTGAATCACCAAGAACCTCCTTCCACGACACCAGAGCCTTCACAGCCATCCCAGGTCTTGCCTACAACCTCATCCTCAGGAAGGACTGGCTCAATAACCAGAATCCAGTGATTGACTGGCCTTCCAACACTGTGAAGATCAGAACTCACTGCTTGACATGCACGCTACCCCGTCCTATCCCCGAAGTCCTTTCAGCAACCCAGTTTGCCAACCTGCTCCGCCAGCAGCCCACACCTGACATGATTGTTGGTGCCCTCATCCTCAACATAACCAATGAAGCTGCACCAACCTTCCAGCCCACCACTGCTTCCAGCAACAATACTGATGCAATTGCATGATCCAAGTTGCTGGCCAATGTTTGC